TGCCCTACAGTACCTGTTTGAAACACCTTCAGCACAACTCCCAACATTAATTACAAACAGCTACATAATTCAAATAGCAAATAGGTAGGGGCTTCCAAGTGACTTCAAATTTTTACAATGACAAATAGTTTTATATAGCTAACAAAAAGGCAAAAATGTGCAAGTTTGCTAAGTCATTTTGAGCAAAACACAAAGTGAACACCAGAGTCCATTTTATCACCTGGTTCAATTTAAAATCATCATGTTTATCTAACCATAAAATTTATTTTCTTTTGAGGAACGGAAAGAATTCTTTACATACTCAACTTTAGTACTTACGGGTAAAATGATTAGAAGTGGATGGATTGACACTATCACCACTGTCAGCACTTTCACTGCTAGAAATGTCATCATCTGATTCCCGCACAGAGGAACAAGGTGAGGAGCCATCAACTTCTTCAAACTTCCTCTTTAAAATGCCACTCATCGCTGCAATGCTGTCACATGCACCTGTAACAGGAACAGAGGCAATGAGGCACTGAAACGTCCAACTGCAGAATATGCAGTCATAATCTCCACAATAATTTTTCTTAGAAGTACCAGTAAGTTGCCACTTCCGGTCTTGAATAACCATTTAATATGAAATTAAATATAATTAATTAGGAGAGAGCGAAGCCATAGGAAAGAAAACAACATCAAAAGTTATACTCTAACTTGAAATGTATGGAGATGGTTATTTTGCTAGAAAAATGTGTAACAGACTGCTTTCAGGGAGTATTTTCACCATTTTGATGTCAATAGCACCCCTGATTTCTACATTATGTTGTGAAATTTCAAACAAGGAAAAAATGGGAGTTTCTTTTCAAACACCCTCGCTCGGTCCCTCCCTTGGCTGCCACAGGAATAAGAAATGTTCACAATCAGGGATGAAATTAAGAAATTCTGAACACTACAGTTCTCATTGCCAAAATATAAGTTATCTAATCAGTGTTCACATCACTCCTATAAGAAATCCATCTGATAATTCCAATATTGCAGACAGATAAAAACAATAAAGTCACAAAGACCAAATACCAATTTAATGCTCGATAAATCCCTGAAATTCAGAAACTCCCCACTCCAGTCAGAGATACCAATTGCCTCTCAAACTCTCTCCTTCCCACATAAAGAAATTAGGTGCCTAATATACTCCTGAGGTTGAGTAGAAGATTATGAAACAAAGTATTCAAGCAGAAATTTAGCAGCAGAGGTAGAAATACAACATGAATTGCACATAATTAAGGAGAAAGTGTATCCTTAACTAACCGAGAAGAGATCAAGGACAGCTGGAGCTTGCTCAGAGGACACACAGCTGCCACCATGCCGCCCACAGCACTGCAGAGCAAGCAGTGTTGGTACTTACCCAGGCAAAAAGTTTGTCTAGGCTTGATGCCATGCTAGACTTGCTGAGTAGGACACACAACCCAGCACTACCAACTAACCACAGGGCTCTGCCAAATCCCACTGAAAGCAAGGAAAAAAAAATTTGCATTCCTCACTGAAACAGAACTTAAGTACCCTAAATACAAGGGTATTTATCCCTAAATACTTTTAGGACTCACTAATTCCTAGCCAGCTGCATTCTGCTCAACCAGGAAGTTGGACTAGATAACCTCCAGAGCCCCCTTCCAACCAACATTTCTATGGTTGTATGTTTAAAAAAACAAACAAACAAACAGTCTGTCAAGAAGCTAACAGACACTGGGCTAAGTGACTACTAGCAAGTAAGACAAGTTCAAGGCAGAGACTCCAGTACTGGCCACACTGTTTAACAATTAGCACATTTCAGAGTTTTGGCCCAGGCCACCTTGCACTCTCCTGGATAATGCAGGATGAAGCAGGTGCCAGAATCATTCCCAGCAGGCACGCTGGATGAGGGCACCCAGGTTTTGGCAGAAGGCTGACAGCTTAGCCACTGTTGACAAGAACCGTACCCTGCCACTTGCCAGCAGAAGCCAGAGAATGCCATCCTTAGCCTGCATTTTTTTATCTTTTTAATTAATATAGAGGTAGTCTCAGTGATGTAGCTGCTACGTTCTGACCCTGTAAGCACTGCACTTCAGGAGATCCTCTAGTATCTTTACTCACGCTTGGTCTAGTACCAAGAAACTAGAGACAAGTTTCTTGGTACTTGAAACAAGTACCTTGAAACAAGAAATGTTTCTTGTTTCAATGTCTCATGCATCCTATGGCTCACTTCAAGCCCCAGCATCAGTTTCCTTCCTGGAAAAAACATAGTGACAGTGTGAAGAGGTTTGCAACCAGCTTTTGGCCTGATACGAAGCTAGAACAGGATAAAGGTGGGTATACAAAGCTGAGCGCTACCAAAAAAAAAAAAAAAAAAAAAAAGATGGGCTTACCAGGTTACAGAGTCTGTAGGACTAATTCAAAATCATAATTTAGCAAACACTGAAGGCCGTCTATAGGAAATCCTGGGAACTGAAGTGGCAATAATATCATGGTTTCATCACAGTGCAACAGGAAAGTTAGTTCTAATTACTTGTTTTGCTTTGCTGACAAAGCATTTTACATTGTCTGCCAGCTCCTAAGCACAGCAGGAGGGAATAATGGGCAGGTTTAAACTTGCCTTTAAGTCAAAACTAGAAATTATGGATATATCATACAATATTTTTATGATATTATTTAATTACAAGGACTAGAACGGAAGTTTTATAATAAGGGAGTTCATTCAACTCTTAGGAAGTAAAAGCTCCAAGAAGCACATACACGATTGCACCAAGTTTAATATCCTGTCTCCAGCAGTAGTCAGTATTTAACGCTTCAGCAGAAAGCAATGGGATGAGAAATCCAGCCACAACCACTGCAGATACATGGCTCTGCTTCCTCATCCTTGCAGTCAATTTCCCCTAAGCATAAGGCTGAAATGTTGCTATACAACAGTGCGCAGCCTCTTATAAATTCATTTGACTTGCTCTCCTGACGCAACAAGTTTCATATTAGTTTATTCGGGGGAAAAAACCCACAAGAAAACACATCTCCCAAAACTTTAGCCACAGACCCTTCAAAGTCACAGCAGTTCCAGTCTTTACAATATTTTGGACAGTAAACAGCAGCAGAAACACACCAGTGTCTAGCAGCATGCTGTACTAGACAGAACACACCTACAAGTACTCCCCATGAAGTGGAAATAGCAGAAAAGAAGTCACAGAGGTCTTCACACTGTTTTATAGTGGTTTTTCCGTTTCAATCGCCAAAAGTGATTATATTGCAAGGGAGGTACAGTGCATCTGCCGATCCTGTACGGAATTAGGAAATGCCTTTATACTTGGGAGGGAATAGCAATGGAGACAGAAATGGAACTGCAGCATCGAGTTACTCATCCCAAAGCTGAAGAGTCTGTCCGAGTGCTGCAGTTGCCGGAAAGCACCCAGTGTGTTACTGCCTACGCTCTCAATCTCACAGCTGTGCAACCCTTAGCAGCCTGCCTCTGGGGAACTCCCCAAAGCAGCATAGCCTCTTGCTGACACTATTCCACTTCTAACGTCGTAACTAAAGTGTTCATCAGCCAGAACAAGGAAGAGAAAATGAGCAAAAAACTGTGCAGGTCTGAAAATACTTGCGCACTCAGTTACTATGCAAACAGATTCTTCTCAATTCTGAGTTAATGATTCCCAGAACAAGACATGGATTCCCATCAGAAGGTATCCAACTCTTGTGATTAATGTACAGGGAGCACTGGTCCCCAACACAGCTGTCTTGAGTCTGCTCTGTGAGCTGGTGCCAGATTCCCTAGGGCCAGAAAACAAAAGCAGGGGCAGTGATGTGCAATCTCAACAGGTATGCGTTGCCACACAACACGGTACAGCCACCACCAGTTGCAGTTACACCTGCTCAGTCTACACCCTGCAAGGGCAAAGGGGCATACAAACGGTTGATTACTGTCTGATGACTGAGAAACAGCTGCTTTCAGTTGAGAAGCCAGTAACTTTTAAATTACTCCAATGCCTTGTATTTCAACAGTCCTCAAATCAAAACCCCTTTCCTAGAAGGCTCTGGACACCCATCATCAAATTGTCTTCTTCAAAGGCATCTGAGCTTTTTCAGGGTCTCACTTTCTCCCTTTGAAGTTGCTCTAGCATAAAGGCTGCTTCTGCACATACCCAGCAGTTACAGAAACTTGAGATGCCTGAATAACTTCATGTCCAAGTCTCCCCAGGAGCCTGAAACTTGGTGTTCTTCCAAGTAAGGTGTCTAACCACAAAAGGAAAACGGAGTATGAGTGCAGAGCATGTTGAGAAGGAAAAGGGACGGAAAGGTTGGACCAGGCCCAAACCCATGAGTGACTCTTTATGAACCCAAAGACTGGTTAATATGGTACAGCACTTGGCATGCTACCTGTGCACGCTCTCTTTGGACTATGAATCTTGGCATTATTTTCTATACAGCAAAATGGTCTCCATCTAAGCAGAGGACTAAGGTGCTCTCCGCTAAGCTATAGCTTGGACGCAGCAATTACTGAACAACAGGTTCAGCTCTCCAGCATCCTGGTGAGTTCCTTAGTGGTTAAATTACTATGTAAGTTACAGGAAACCCATTCAGCAGCAGATCTTTACAAGAAAGATGTTTTAAGAGGAAGAGTGGCCTATGCTCTGTTCTTGAACAGAAAGGTTCATGCACTTGCCTTCAGGAGAGGGCACCAGACTGTGACTGTGGAGCATAGGGAACTTCAATAGTAAACAGCTGAGCTGTAGTTCCATGCTGAAAGGTAGCCACCCAGATGTTGGGGATTAAAACATTTAACTCTCAAGCATCTAACCTATAATTGCCTTGCTTCTTATTTCATTAAGGGAACATGACTCAGGGACTAATCCTGAAACCTTACGCAGAAGTAAAAGACTTGCAGTCCTCAATGACCACAGCCTATCCTTACTAGATTTAAAAAAAAAAAAAAAGCCACCCAAAACACATTTCTGCTCAAAGAGAGTCATTGTAAGGACAGGGTATTTTACAGACATCTCGGCATTGCTACGGAACACAAGCTCCTCCCTACAGTACGTTACTGGACCTCTGCATCAGTAAATGAGCTCTGCTGGCACTGTTAATTTTGCCTTGTCTTCAAACACAATGGGATTCTGATCAATACTATAACACTTCAAAAGGAAATGTTTGAAAAACAAAGCAGATGTATTAAATAATAGGATCTCTGGGGGAATAACAGCTTGGCCTGTTCATTTTCAAAATTCTTTTTGTGAACATTGAACCCTCTCCCCTTCAATAAAAGGCAATTAGATTCCTTAAATTTAACTTCTGGCCACCTTAAAATCAACTTGGCTCTCTTAACACCCTTAATTACATCTTTAAAACATTAAGCTTGCATATCACAGCTAACATAATGTCATGATTACAATCTAAATATTTAGTCAGAACTTCCCTATGAGGAAATATACCTTATACTACACAATGCTTGCTTTAACCAAGAAAGCATTA